GGGAGTCACAGCCACCTGCGCTGCACCCCTCCGGGCTGTCCCCCCACATCACCCATGCTAAATGGGGGTGACAATGCCTGCTGGAAATGTTGGTCCTATATAAAACAGGGTCGAGTTCCCCCATCCTCTGCCATTCTCCCACAGCATCCTCCCTTGCCCCAAAAGTTGTCCCCTGTCTCATGCTGGGTCTCCCCTTCATGCTGAAGGCTGGGAACACAGTTCCCAACAGATCTCAGTGCATTGCTCTTGCACTGAAGACCTCTTGTGATTTAAGGTCTAGAAATTATCTGCTCGTTACTATTACTCTTTTTTGATGTGCTCTCACTCTGCCATCAGCCTCGGGAGGTGTTTGTGAAGTTGTGCCGTGCGTAGCTGTTGTCGGTGGGTTGTGGTGGCTGGAGGGTGGCAGGAGCAGGAGGAAAGCTGGAAAGGCCCCTTGGTGCTGGTGTTCCCCCCTACATGGACAGCCCTTTGCAGAGGCAGCTGCAAGAGCTCGGCTGCCCAGGACCATGTGTCTAAAGCACAACCCACTGCTGGGATGTGTGGGGGAGCAGGAGTGGAGCTTGCAGAGCCCCGGAGCCAGCAAGTGCCTTTATTTACAGCACTTGTAGCCTTGGCTGCTTCTCCATAGCACGGAAGAAAAAAACAAACCCCGAGCACTCTTCTCTCTGTCATGAGATCAGACACTTGTGGGCTGGTTTGTGACTGTGAGAAGAAGGGGCACAGGACAGGGAGAAAACAGCAGCCCTGAGGCTGCAGGTGCTGAGAACTGAAAGGAGGAAATTGAAGTCAGCCACTTGCCCACAGACGCCTCCCTTCCTGCGCTCGCCTGCTCCCCAGCTCCTCTACTGAGCCTTGAGGCGCTGCTCACCACAATGTGTGCCCCATAAAACAGCCCCGATGCTATGACTAAGTCACAAATTAATCCCAAAAGCGGCACTGAAAATCCCCTTTATGGCAACAAGGGGTGAGGGCGGGCATCGAGCCACTCTTGCCCATGTTCTCACATCCAGGGTCCCAAAAGGCAGGTGGGAGACCTTCACTCTCCCACTGCTGATGGGTGGACTTGCAGAGGTGGTCCCATGGGGTTGTCTGGGGATGGGAGAGCTGTTAAACCCAGGCAGACGCGGGTAGGCATAGAATCATAGAATGGTTTGGATTGGAAAGGACCTTAAGATCGTCTAGTTCCAACCCCCCTGTCATGCGCAGCTCAGTTTGCACCACAGATGATGAACACAACTAGGAAAAGACATCATGGGGCTTTATGATGGGGTTGGGGGCTGTCGAGGCTTCTGGGGCCGGTCCCAGGTTGGAGGTGACCTTGGGGAGCCTGTGCTGGGCTGGGTCTGGTGGTGGCTGGCATACCAGGCACTGCTGCATGCGCCAGGGGAGGCAGCTTGGCAGCCTCATCCTTCCCATCACCAGTCCTCAGGGCGATAAGGAGGCACAGGGGAAGGTGCTGTGGCCAAAGCCCGGCCCCAAGCTGCAGGCGCTGTCCCTGCGGATCCCTCCCCTCTGTCTCCATCCACACTTGGCCACCCATCACCACCACTTGCCCTTCAGTCATGTTCCCAGCGTGAGAGAGGCCGAGACTCCTTCCCAAAAGATCAGGGCTGAGGTTTGGCTGCCTTCCAGTGCTGGGGTGAATTTATTTTGGAGATATAGGAACTATATGTAGCAGCAGGAGCCAGGGAAAGGTCAGGATGCAAAACTCAGGGCTGTCAATGACATGAAGGCTTTGCATATGGTCTGCAGCACAGATCTGACTGTACGAGAGGTGATAGTCATCTTGTAACACAACCTCACTGGAGGAAAAACAGCAGCAGAGTCAAAGGCAGGTCCCAGAGACCTGAGCCAGTGTTGCTCAGTGACGGCACTGAGCATCCGCTGCAGGTCCTGGGGAGGTTCTATAGGGTCACAGACCAAGTCCTGGCTCCCTTCTCCAGGGCCACAAAGCAGAACCTCAAGCCCAGGAGCAGGGTTGGGATTTAAATGCTCATTTCCTGCCTCTGTGTGATTTCGTTTGTTGTTGCACGGTTTAATTGCTTAACACACTTGTAAAACAGGAAAGGAGGAAGAAAGATAAGGTACAAAACCCCACCTCATGCTGAAAGCTGAAGCAGAGGCTGCAGCTGCCTCTGTGCAGGTCCTCCCCACCGCTGGCACCTTTCGAGATGCCTCAGGTGCTGCTGGAAATCCCAGTTAATCCATCCATAAACATTTCTGCTCCAGACCATTAGAAATATTTTGTTCTAAGAACGTGGGTACTTCTTTTTTATAGCTGGAAGGTATTTTTTGGCATGACCCTCCTCAAAGCCGAAGCCAGAGGGTTCAATGCTGAGACCTTACAAGACAAGCAGGACTGACGATGTCCTGCACCTGCGGGATGTTCCAGGCTGCTTCTTCCCTGGGCCAAAGCCATTCCAGCTGGAGCAACCCCCAACCTGCTCCTTTCACACACAGCGGCTACCAGGAACGGCTTCCAGATCTCCAAAATGCACTGGGTGACACCAGAGATGTGGGTGCCATGTGCTGCTCTGGAGGTGGCAGCGGAAGCTGCTGATGTATTTCAGGTTACAGCTGTATTTTGGTTTTCACCCTGGCTTTGGAGCTCTCATCCCAAAGGACAGTTGAGTGCTTAGGAGTAAAATTAGCTCAGGACACTATTTCAGTAGCATCTAGAGGTAGGAAGGGTGTCTCGCTCATGGCCTCGGGGCAGGTATTTAGATTTGTCTGCTGATGCTGGCATAACTCCTGCTCCCTTTTAGCCATTTCTGAGCTCAGTGGAGTTATCTCAATCATCTTCCTTGAGCAGCTGAGGGGCTCTGAGGCCCCATCCAGCTGGGTTTGGGGTATGGGAGAGACACAGAAGTGCCCTGGATCCATGGTGGGAATGTGTCCCATGCTATGGGGGCAATCAGGGGTAACCAGCCTTGGACATTTCACCCTTGGGCATCGCCTTCACCAGTGAGCAGGATGTATGTGCAATGGAGGCAGTTTGTCTCGGGCAGGTGAGGTTTGGTGGTCACGCCTGGAGGAAGAACCAGCATCCTGCTCCTGGCAAGGCTCAGGTCATCCAAAACCCTTGGGGGCTGTGTGACCCCTGCATCAGTGTAACCTGTGGGGGTTTGAGGATTTCATAATGCTCTGAGGCTTGCAGACCTGAGGCTGACTACCTCATCCACACACTCCCCACCTCCAGACTCCAAAACCCTGCACGGGACATGGGGCACACTAAATCACAGGGAGATGCACACCAGCATGAGATGGGTGCAAGGAGCAGGCTGGAGACCCTGGAGCTCAGCAGCATCCTGGGTGACCCATGTTTGCAGGGCAAGTTGTGTCGGGAATGAGAACAAACCCTGCGAATCCCGACCGTCTGGTGCCTCCTCACTCCACTGCCTGGGCTGCGTTCAACACCGCAGCACTCACGCCATAGAAGGGAAGATAAAGCTGTGGCTTCCCAGAGGCTGAGTCTTCCTGAGCCTCTCTGGCAACTGCACTGCCCTCCGGCTTCAGGAGGGGGGCTGCAGGGGAGGCGGAGGCAGGGACCTGTTTGCTTTCCCTCGCTCTTTTCCCAAGCCAGGCTCTCCAATCTGGTCTGTATTCAGCCAAGCTCCCCACAGGCTCTAAGACTGCTTTCATTAGGGACCGGTGTTTTTAGGGGTGGCTTTGCTGGGGCTGGAGAACAGCAACGTGTCTGCAGGTGGGTTCTTGTCCACAATGCATCCGCTCCCCTGCCCAGAAGCATGACCCAGTGATGGGCAAGAGGAGCAAGATCTGCCCCACACCAAGGCCAAACTACAAGAGCAGGCAAGATTTGCTTCTATCTTCCAGTAACAGATAAAAATACATCCATGTCTCTTGTCTTCTCCTCCTCCTCCCCTCCAAGTGACTAAATTAGGCCCATGCAGGGCTGGAAGGCATCCCACAGAGCTGCGATGCTGAAGGCAGCTCCCGGCTCTGGGTTCTATCAGCCCCCGGCAGCAGTGGGAGCGTGCGGGAGCGCGCGGGGCAGAGCAGCACATTCCTGTGCTCCTGAGGTCATTGCTTGTGCCGCTGCCAGCCCTGCACGGGGCCCGCAGCGCCTCTGGTTTATGGGTGTTTTCATGTCTCACTCCTGTGTCAAAGCCCAGCTGTGTAAAGCACCGGCTTGTTTGGGGTGCTGCAGGGTGCCAGGGACCACGCTGACCCTGAGCATCCCCGGGCAGCAGGGACAGGGCAGGAGGAAGGTGGTAATGAAACACCATAGTCCTGCAGAGTGCTGCCTGCTCTCCCCCACCAAATATTTTGCTGCTGGACCCTATTTTACACCAGCTCCATGTCAGGGGGGTTGTGAGCATCCCTCGGGTGTTCCAGCCAGTGGCTGGCAATGCCACATGGGGGAAGCATCCAGGATGAAGGGAAACAGCACGAGCTCAGGGCTGCCTGCCATGTACCTATGGTGCTGAGGGCTGACAAAGGGCAGGGAGGGACCACTGCTGCTCAACCACCCTGCTTTAGCAGGGCTGAAGCACGCTTAGCGCAGTGTGCCTCCTGCAGGGTGTCCTCTGCCCTGCTTTGTCCTCCCCTGCTCCAGCCCTTTCTCTCTCTTAGAGACAGCTAAAAGCCCAGCAGCAGAGGGGACCAGCTTCCCAGGAGCTCACAGCCTTGAAGACAGAGAACGGTGAGAAGTGAATGTGTGTCTTCCCCCTGCTGTGCTTTCCTAGTGTGATATTAATAAAGCATTACGATGGACCACAGGGTGGCCAGCCTGTGCTGGGGAGGATGGGGATGGCGGCTGCAGCCTCCACATGGCACTGGTGCAAGCGGGCAGGTATTATGGCATCCAGAGATGATGGCACTGAATCCTCTCAGGCAGACAGGTTGTCCCCTAATGAGCTGTGTCCTCTCTGAACCTGTCAGCATCACCCCAATTAGTGCTAACTTTCACCAGTGAGATGGGGGCAGGTATTTGTCCAGTGGGAAGAGGAGAGGGGCTGAAGCCAGGCCAGGACATCCAAGCAGCCCAGTTAGTAGGATGCAGCCAGCACCGTTTGAGCCACATTTGCATTGCAGCTAATGCCACTCTCTTGCCTGAGGATGGGAAGGAGAAGGCAGCGCTGCAAGAGGAGAGGACAGAGAGCACAAGACTCCTCCAAGGCCAGGAGGAGGATGAGGAGGAGCGGCTGCGGGATGCCAGCCAGGCAGGCACTAAGGGAATCACCCGGGATGGTGACATCCAGGTCAGTGGAACAGTGGCTGGGCAGAGAGTGTGTGGCCAGCCAAGACTTCCCAGGCAGTGATCATGGACCTGGCGTGTGCTGGGCTGGGCTCTTCTGGTTTTGGGGAGCAGTAGGGGGGTCTGGCAATAAGGCATAATGGGCTGGGGGGGCCACAGCATCCCTCACAGCAGATCACACAGGTAGGGTTTGTCATCTCCCTGCTTCCCAGGTGGAAGAGGGAAAAGACCTGGAGCTGAAGGAGCAGTTTGATGCCCTGAAGAGAGAGCACACAGAGACCCTGCAAGGTGCGTGCTGGGACAGCAGTGTCCCCCTGCTCCATGGCACCGTGGGGCTCATTACCCTGGTGTCCCCACACCAGTGACACTTGGTTCATGTTCCCCCTGCAGAGCTCCAGAGAGCACATGAGCAGGAGAAGCTGCTGCTGGCAGAGTCCCACCACAGGTCCCAGGCGGCCTTACAGGTACCTGCAGGGAAATCCCTGGGGAGGGGGTGGTTGTGGAGGGCTTGAGGGACCATCTACTGGTTCTGCTATGGTGCTCCAAGCTCCTCAGTGGCCACCTCGGTCCCTGGTGTGCCCAGGGACCACAGAGGCTCCTCCAGCCCTGGGGTTATTAGGGTGCCACAGCCCAGCTCTGCTTAGGAAGAAATCCCAGGTATCTCCCATCCTGCTTCTTCCCTGGCTGCCCTAGGAGACGATCCAGGCACTGAATTCCCAGCTGAAGTCCTTCCAGGAGAGGATGAAGCGGGTGGAGGAGTCACTTATGAGCACGGACTACAAGAAGCACATAGAGGTGCAGAGAGGGGTGGCAGGGAGGGGACCTGCCTCTGGGGTGCTGGTCCAAAGCTTCTCTGATGGACCCTGAGATGCTGATTGACCCTGATGATGCCCTGAATCCTCCCCAGATGCAGGGCAGCTGAAGTGGGGAGCAAATCCCTGTCCCTGGGACATGCATGGGCTGTTGGGGTCTCTTGAACACAAGTGATGGGTGAAACATGGGTGTGGGGTGAACCATGGCAGATACCCCCCAGTACCCACCCCACAGTTGCCACATGCCCTGTGTCCCGCAGGAACATGGGAGCCCCAGCCCCTTCTGGGAGCAGGAGCTGGAGAGCCTGCACTTTGTCATCGAGATGAAGAACGAGCACATCCATGGGCTTTTTTTTTTAGACTGTGGTGGGTTGAAAGGAGGACACGGGTCACAAGTGGGCTTTGCTCTTTCCATCTCTTCCCCCCACCTGAATCCTGTCCAGAAAGTGCAGCTGAAGGGGAGGTGGATGTAGCCTGGTTCATCTCTTGGAGCAGGGAGGGGATGGGGGTGCATCGCCATCACTTTCTGCCTTCCTCCTCACCCTCATGCCTACTTCCAGGCCGAGAGGAACCTTCTGCTGGAGGAGAAGGTGAAGACTCTCCAGCAGGAGAATGAGGACCTGCAAGTTCGCACCCAGAACCACTTGGTCATGGCGAGGTAAGTGCTGGTCCCACGGGGACAGGGAATACATCAAGAATACGTTGCAGCCCACAGGGCCACTCATTTGGGTGCAGAGGGGGCTCACGGGTGCTGTTTCCCTCCAGGCAGCTGTCAGAGGAGCTCCTGGCTGCCCGTGGAGCACTGGAGAAGGAGGCACAGCTCCGGGAGCAGGCGCACCGCGAGAAGGAGGAGCTGCTGTACCGTGTGGTCCCACGGGGACAGGGAATACATCAAGAATACGTTGCAGCCCACAGGGCCACTCATTTGGGTGCAGAGGGGGCTCACGGGTGCTGTTTCCCTCCAGGCAGCTGTCAGAGGAGCTCCTGGCTGCCCGTGGAGCACTGGAGAAGGAGGCACAGCTCCGGGAGCAGGCGCACCGCGAGAAGGAGGAGCTGCTGTACCGTGTGCTCAGCGGAGGGGACGGCTCCCCATTCCCCATCGCTGCCGGCGAGGTGCCCCTCATCGCCACATAACACACTGCCCGGGGGGTGTCGGGGCTTCCCTCTGGGTGCCGGAGCCCAGGGCTGCTCTCACAAGTGCCCCACTCCCCAGGCTGGCCCCATCCGACCGAGGGCAATGGAGCATTTCACAGGACACTTGCGCCTGCCTTTCCGCAGCCCACGTGGGGCACCCTGGAGACCCCACTGTGCCATCCCTGCACCTCTTCCTCTGGTGGGAGGATATGGGGTAAAAGGGGTCAGCCAGGACACACAGATTGGGCTGGATCCAACCCAGCGCTTGGCTCTGAGCATGACCAGCATCAGCGCTGCCCAGGGGCATGAGGAGGAAGAGGAGGTGGTCACTGGGATGGCATGGGAGCAGGGGGAGGATGAGGAGGGCGCTGGGGAAGTGATGGTGTTAAGGTACTTCACTCCCTGGGGTACATCCCTGGGAAGGAGGTGGCCAAGCCCAGGGCTGAGCCACGGAATGAGTGCAGCTGGGTTTATCTGTCACCTCCAGCACTGCCCCTGCTATAGACCATGTCAGCCTGGCCCTCCCACCCATGCCCTCCTCATCACCTTCTCCATCTCCAGCAAACAGCTCCCAGGGATTGCTCCTGCATCCCAGGCCTTCCCCCACACACCACCACACAGACACCAATCCCTCCTGTCCCCCCTACACATCAGCAGCACCACCAGTGCCATCCTTTCCCCCAAAGCTGGGCAGCGGCTGCATGCTCAGAGGTGCACATCTGGGGAGCCGCGCAT